GCCCACCGGGTTTCTCGTTGCACAGGGAAGGACGTTAGTACAGTACACCCGACACAGAGATCAAGAGCGCCTGTTGGTGTCTACTCAGGTAAGCGATCCACGAAGCTGTATGTTTCTTTGCGGGACTGTACTTAAGCAGAACATGGAGGCGTTGACCTCGTTTTTGCAATTCCATTTCTGCTAATCCGGGCTTTACAGGCGTCGGTTCTATCGAGCCTCACACATAGACGGGACGAAAGTCCCGCCACTATTGACAGCCAAGTAAGTGGCCACTCCCTTTATCGTGGGTAAGTGTAGCGACGTGAAAAGGTCGATCGCGCCGTGGATCGCCCTCGGAGCTTGCTAGAGTAGCCACTCGATGTTACGACAACGTCCTCTGATCTAGAGCCGTGGCCTCTTGGGCGTTCGTCATTCTTCTACACTTCTCACAGCGTCAACAAGCGGCTAAACGTGACTGTGGTAGAAGCCGTCGTTCGACACCCTCAAGGCTGGAGCAGGGGGTAGTCAACCCAAACGGTAAGGCAATAGAATTGTCGCTCGATTCTGTCGAATGGCAGCTACAGACCCACAACCCTACCTCCGTCGAGCGGAAGCGGAACCTTCGAAATCTGCGAGGCCGTAAGTTCTGCTCAGGCCCTCGATCATCATCCGAGGTGCATCGAGACTGCGAGAAAAAGCCTGAAGGCTGGCCAACCAACCACTAGACTTCGTTCGGCTGAGGCTGAGGCGCGTATCCGCAATCCGTCATGTCCTCCTGAAATGTGTTTATGGATCTCACTAGTGCCAACCAGTTTTTGTGCCTCCAGATCTTTGCAGCGTACAGTCAAGACTTGATGAAGCCACGATGCCGATCGATTCGAGTTTAGATGGCCATGGATCGCGTGCGAGTCGAGAGATGCCTCAAAACACCGCCCAACACACACCGCTACATACGTGTCGTGCTGCAACTAAAAGAAGGCGACAAGAAGAGCTCCTCCAGTACGACTCCATCAGCTCACAGAGCCACGGCTACGCAGCTCGGGGTGAGCAACGATACGTCTTCGTGCCATTCTCCTGTATGTGACAGTCTCACTTCGTATACGCGGTACCCAGTCTCTACACAGTCTACCAGGCTGACGCGGAAGCAAAGCAGAGTAAAGGTATGTCATGCATGCCCCAGGCGATGTTCAAGCGACAGGGGTGTCTGATGTGAGCTCGAGTATCGGACTGCGTTGGCATGAGCAATGGGCGTGCAAGCTAATCCAGCAGGTGCAGTTGCAAAGTTGCTAGCGGTGCAGTCTCGTCACACAATACTTTCTTTCGAACTGCAGCTATGAACATCGCAAGGAGTTACCCCTCTTCCACGAAACGAACCGTCAGATCTACGCGATGGGAGACGAGCATGCCAAGGATAGATGGCTGTGAGAAGCATCCGAAGGTACAAGGACAATCGTGTTCCCTTCATGCCATGTCTTGCATCGAACAAGCTCGGCAGCAGAGGATATCTCGTAAAGTACAACGGTGGTATCTGCGTACGCTGCGACCTTTGGACCAGCGCTGGAGACACCGACTCCGCTGCGCAGACACCACACGCGTGCTTAGCGCTCGTTGTCACCACTTCGTCTCCCACTTGGAGATCCCGTACCAGTACGCAGCCAACGCTTGTACCCATGTGTGGCTCACGCCGCCTGTCTATGGCACACATGGAAAGGTCGCTTCAACTGCAATGTCTGTGTAGAAGCCGAGTTGAGCACTAGACTCACTTGGACAATCTCTGCTGATTAGACATAGAATGGTCACCAGACCCTTCGATTGGGACCCTACTTGGTCAATGATGCGACTTGCTGACGAAAAAGACAATGGGCTTTTCGTGTCTTGGTATGTCGCGCTTCCATACCCCCAGCTTACATGCAAGCACTTGACCACCGTGAGCAGGCACTCCACAGACGATACTGGTCCCGAGGCCCACGGGCGCTCAGAGTGTATCGTGGTCTTCAGGTTCGTCAGTACCGCATCGGCGGAGCAGCAAAGGCTTCTCAAACACGACGCCTCTACAGTGTCGGCCATGAACATCCCACTCTCGATCTTGACCGTTAGGCTCCATGCACACCGAGTACGTCGACTTCAATATGTTGAAGTCGCCCCAAGAGCGGCCAAGTTTGCGGCGCGGAGTGCGATCACGTCGAAAAAGATGTTGACTGGCCCAGGCTTCCACCACTCTTCCATGAAGTGCACCTGGTTGTCAAGATCGATGCTATCATTCTCGTAGGCCTCGCGACATTCTCTATATCACTACCCGAGCACCTGAGTTGAGTATGTGACTACAGCAACGTGGTTGCTGCTGCGCTGTATGGAAGCCAGATTGACCGGCTAACAAGGCAATGCAGTATGGTTGTTGTAAGCGTTGTCGAGTACATGATACCCAAACACGTCGCCCATCCACCTTGAACGCACGCAACATTGCTGCTAATCACTACTGACGCGGTATGACTGTTAGTGTGCGTGCCGTGCAGGGCAGTGAGCCCAGCATGTGACCATTGAGTCCGCCCTTGCTGTCGAGGTAGTGCACGCAGACGCCCGTCAACGCAGGCTGCCCGCCAGCCAAAGCCCAGTCGTCGAAGCAGACGCGTAAAGTCCCTCCCCGTGTGACGGAAAATCCTATGTGCCGGAAGCAACCAATGAGACAGAGCACCGTGTCAGGAAAGATGCTATCCCTGCCCTCTCATTGGCCCATTTCTACTCACCGGGATCTCCGTCACACAGGAGGGATGTTACAAGCGGCTGCACTTCACACAAGAAAGCGGCAACGATAGGTATGTACGCGCAGTACTCGGCGGCGATACTGCCATGTAGGCTTCGGTGGTCATGCCGAAGTACCGCTTGAGCCGATGGGTTTACAGCTTCAAGAAGCCGTCGAAACTGCGGCGTCTCTTTCACTGTTCCGCATTGGCTATCCGCTGCTACTCAGTCTTTCATCGCTTCCTGGTTGGTCGGCTGAGAAACCAGCCACCAGCCCACTTGCAATGTTTTACGTTAACGTTACCTCAGTCCTTTTGGACTTCATTTTTGACACCGCTGATCACGCAACAGCAGCTGATATATTGCTCTCGGGGCTCTGGATAGACACAGCACCGTTGAGTCCGACCCAGCGACTTCTTGTAGGCTTCTGAAGGCGGGCAGCGGTGCTTGAGGTCGAAGTCCAACGTTGCACGTGACGCCAAGCTAGTAGCCATGACGCAAAGCCAATCTTTTTCCTTGACTTTTGTATGCCAAACCGGCCAGTCGTGGTGACAGACCTAGCTGTGAGGACCGGCTGGAGTAATTAGTCTGCTCCAGCTGACGCCGCTCCAGCTGCGCGACGCAGTTTTCGTCAAGGTATTCGAAGTCTCTCTCATCCACTGGGTCTGTGGGTGTCACTACAATAGCATTTGTAACGTCTGTCCCTATGTGACGAGAAACCCGGTGGGCCGAGAACGACCAATCAAATCGCACGGACGATGAAGAAGGGCGCGATCTTTTCGATCCGATTGGTCGTTCTCGGCCCACCGGGTTTCTCGTCGCACAGGGACGGACGTTAGTAGCAGGGAGATGGCTTCACCGCGCTCATAAAGACATCATAAAGCCAAGGTCGGCTCGGCAGACATGAAGCACAGCAGGAAGTAAGATCGTGATGAGCTTTGCTAACGATACGATAGCTTTGGAAGAAGTCGAAGACGCGTTGGCTTGAACACCAGCTGGTGTGCATTCGGCCGAAAAGATGTGAGCACTAGTCACAAACTGTACGAAACCCAGCTCGAGGAACCGCGATCACGACTGCCGAATATGACCCCAGAACGGCTCTACAACAGCCTAGACCAAGCAGCGTGATTAGTCTGACTGCTGGGGATTGTTTAGAGAGAACAGACGGGATGGTTCGCGCTGATCTGGTTTACTCTCCACAGGTCTGAGAAGGGGACCTTTTGCAAATCAAGCACGAAAGCGATTATGCGAACGTCACTGAGAGAGAGAGGTGGGATCTAAGGTGTTCAAAACTAGCTACAGTACACGACCCACACTCACGCACATACACACACACGGCAAAGCTTCGTGTGTGCGTAGCATCTTCTGTTCTCGGTACGGTAGGTCTTCCGGTACGCGAGGCGGGACATCGCTTCCTCGCTGGTTAGAGCGTATGTTATTGACTCTGCTCCCCAGCTTTGACCGGGACAGGTGCGCCTTCGATTGGCGCAGTCGCCTATGCACATAGATCTTGCATGCAAGCACTACCGGTCCAGAAGTGCTTTCGACGAACTGCCAGCCCGCCATCTGTCGAAGAGCTACCGTGTAAGGAGGAAGCTGTCAGCGTGGCCTGGCGACCATGAGGCTGAAGAGACGCCTCTTCAAGATTTGGATCGCCACGGAGTAGATGACCAGCAAACTATGGGACTGGATCGCCCAGCCGCAGCTGCAAGTTCGCTCGACAACAGCCTGCCACAAGACCCAGTGTCACGACTCCGCCTCCAGCGATCGCATCGCAGTAGACTCGAACGTATGGCTAACTCTAGTCGAGAGTTCTTGATGGAGCTCATCCAGGTGCCACACGGTAGAGAGCGATGTGTCAAGCTTCGGATCTTCGATGGCCTGGCCTCGCCTCGTGCAGCTGCCCAAAGCAGTCTTCAGGAAGCACGACGAGGTCTACCCAAGGTTGTGCTTGAGTCCACATCCTAGGCCGACACAAAGGCGCTCGGTAGGTCATTTCTGCCACAGCCTCCCACTGCTTGACCACTCGACGGCACCTACGCCCTCTCCGTTAAAGGAGACCGTTCTTAGCGACATCAAGTGCCCACTTGTGGTGGCCACCGTCTGCTAACGTCCTTCCCTGTGCAACGAGAAACCCGGTGGGACGAGAATGACCAATCAAATCGCATGGACGATGGAGAAGGACGCGATCGTCGCGATCCTATTGGTCGTTCTCGGCCCACCGGGTTTCTCGTCACATAGGGACGTACGTTACAAGGTACAGACAAGTCGTAAGCTTGGCATCACCCACATCGAATCGACTGTGCAATGCCGCTCAGCTCAAACATCGCCCGCCGTATCTCCAGTGTGCATGCAGGAGGTTTGCTTTGCCCTGACTTGACCGAGCTTCCTGCCAGCTTCTTCCTCTTGCGGTTGGCCGACATAGCACCTAGTACGGTCCGTTGCTCCATCTCTGCTCGCTCGAAGTCGATCACCATCACGTGCCCAGTCTCCTCGTTCCACAGTATGTTGCGAGGCATCAGGTCCTTGTGCAGCACGCCCAGCCCGTGGATGGCGTCGGCCGACAGCCTCACCTGCTCGCTGACCGATGCCTTGTTCTCCGCCGTGAGGTGTTGGCCGACGAGACGGCCTCCGAAGCTGAGGAACATCATGTGCACAAGGTCGGCGATGCCTTCGTAGAAGTAGGGTGTCTCGAGGTCGATGTTCCCCAGGTGCACCGGCACGTGGATGCCCTGGATGGGCTGAAGCCGCTCGTAGACAGACGCCTCCCATCGCAGGCGGTGGGCGAAGTAGGCGGGCGTGCACTTGGCCGCCACGACGTATCCGTGCGATCGCAGACGGACGCGGAAGAGCACGCCACACGCTCCCGGCAGGCTCACGGGACTGCAATCCGTGTCCAAGTCATCCGCGAGCTGTCGACGCATGAGGTCAAGGAAGGCTGGCCGGTCAATCTGATGGTATCTGTCCCCGTGGTGTCGAGCGTTGGGACAACGTCTGTCGAGCACGCCGCCATCTGCAAGCCCGCGCAAGCATTCCTGCGTGCAGTATTGCCCGTCCTCTGCTCTCTGGCCGCGCTTGCGCCCGCGCTTGTGACCGCTTGATGAGCTAGCGCCTATGTTTTGCATGCGCGAGAAGCGCTTCGACAACGACTGCTGTCGGCTCGGCGTGTCTGGATCAGGCTCTGACTCTGGCTCGTCGTCGCTGGCCTCGTGTCGCTGCTCCGCTTGCCGGCAGCTGGGCGAGCTGTGCTTCGCTCTTCCGCCGCGCAGCTGCACGGGCGACATGCGAAGAAAGCTGTTGTCCTCTGGAGGCTGGTACTCCGATGACTGCGTCGTGCCTTCGGGGATCGCGTCCAGCAGCTCGTCGTACACCACCTCCCAGCTGCGCAGTTGCTCCGCTGCCTCAGCCCGCCATCGCTGCGACCGCGGCGGTGTCTTCAGTGCCTGGAGGGTAAAGGCCAGCATCTGGCCCACCGCGGTTAGGTGCAAGCGGTTCGCACCCTCCGAGCCGGCTGTCCACCCCGTCGTCTCTCCCACGTCGCCCTTTGGCACCGAGAGGAAGTAGTGCACTGTCCGAGGGTCGTCCCCCACCCGCAGGAAGATGTACGCTTCGCCCGTGCACACGCACCCGTACTCTACTCCGATCCGGACCATGTAGGAGAAGGCCTGGGTGATGACCGCGGCGACCAGCCGGCGAAAGCGGTCTCTCAGCGTCTCGTCATCACGGCACTGCACTACCTCGTCGAGTTCCATCTCGCCTAGACCCTCGTAGATGTAGCCGAGCGGGAGCTTGTGCGGCGCCTTGTACTCCAGGATGAAGGCTGCGACTCGATCCTGAGCGCTTCGAGTTGTGCCCGTGTTGTATACGCAGAACTGGTCGGCCCGAGGACGCGACGAGCTCGCTGTGCTTCTGGGACCAGCGTCCTCCGCTTCTGCCGTATCTGTCGAGCCCGACGGCCGTGTCTCTTTTGCTTTAGCCTGCAGGCGTGGTGACCGCCGTCGCCCGGTCCCCGACATCGTCAGCTGCTCCATGCCCTCTTCCAGCTGCGACTCCGGGCTGAGCGTGTTGGCGTGGTTCTCAAAGTTCACCGAGCCCTGCAGTCCAAACTTGCGCCGCAGTCGTCGGTCGCCGTGCATGCCCTGGATAATCAGCGATACCTGGTCTTCGACGGTGTGCCGCTGGAAGACGTTCAGGTCCAGCTCCGAGCTCATCATCCGCCGCCGCACAGCCTCGCCCGTCTCCTCGAGTGTGTGCAGCGACGTGAAGTGCCGTTCGGACGCGAAGCCGGACTCCATCAGATCGTTCCAGATGGTGGTCTGTCGTGCTGGGAAGTCGGTCCATAGGACCACCCTTTCCGGGCGAAGCTTGTTGTTTGCATTGGCAGGATTGCCTTGCGTGGATAGGGTCGGGTCGGTCTGGACGGTGAGGCCGGAGTGGAGATGGGTGTGGCAGGCATGGAGGAACTCGGGAAGGGCTGTCTTGCGCGTCTGCTCTACGGCCCTCTCCTGAGCTTGCTCTGCCTCCTCGCGTCTGTGATCCGCCTCCTCGCGTCTGTGATCCGCCTCCTCGCGCCTGTGCTGTTCTTCCCCCCGTGCTGCTTCCGCTTCTTTCTGGGCGTTCTCTGCCGCTTCACGCCTGCGTTGTTCCTCCTCACGTCTGCGTTGTTCCTCCTCACGTCTGCGTTGTTCCTCCTCACGTCTGCGTTGTTCCTCCTCACGTCTGCGTTGTTCCTCCTCGCGCCTGTGTTCCGCCTCCTCGCGCCTACGTTGTTCCTTCAGATAAAGAGCTTTGTAATCTGGCGACTCTTCGGCCATGTTGTAGCGACAGAATCTTTCTGAATGCCGGCCTGCTGCAGTGGGTTCGTCTATGGCGTTCTTCGTTGGCGCGAAATGTACACACAAATGCACCTACTCCATGAGCGGAGGCGCAAGTGCTCACAGCAGGTACTTGGGTAGTGGATAAGGTTGCGTTGACAGCTAGTGTAGGAGGGGGTCGCGGGACTCGTGTGCAGGAGTGCTGCTCTGTTTTGGTTGCCTAAACGTTCGGCGCACCAGCGCTTGCGCCGTGTTGCCCCCCCAACGAATGTGAGGTCATGCTGCCAAGACGCGGGCACATCTCCCTGTCAAAACCATTTACGAAACAACAGCCCATTGGGCAGAGTTTCCATACCCAAGATCTTATTACAACATCGAACTAGACACATTCGTCGTTGCTCATGTCGTACGTCAGAAAACGATGCAAAGTTGTTCGTGCCTTTACGCATGCTGCTCGCAAGCCGCGGGAGGCCGTGCACGCCGTCGCTTCATGACAAGGCTGTCGGAACATCAACACTTTCAGTCCCCTCATCCACCGATCTCCTCGACACAGCTGTATGGACTGGGCGTTGCGATGAGACGGGCGCTTGATGGCGTTGGTCTGTACAACGAGTAGTCCACTGGCTTCGATTGCCGCCATAGCGACTTTGAGGCTGCCGAGGTGTCCATGTTAACTGTACGACAGCATGCATTGGGCGCCTCTAAGTCGTCAGGTGCTTGTGCGCGGTTGGACGAGCGGAAGAGAGCCTCCAGATTCGAGATACTGATCAGCGTGGCGACATTGCACGCGTTGTCCCCATCCACAGACCACAGGCTCAACGCCACTCGTTAACAGGACCCGCGGACTCCAACGAGCGATCACGCTGCGACACTCATATGCTCGCCGTCGAATCTTTTGCGCAGCTGCTGAGTCAGATCCGAGTCCGACAATTACTCAAGTCAACGCACTGCGTCCGTCACCACTACCAGCGACGACCGTTGTCCCTGACGAGCAAACGAAGTGTTACACCCCGTCGATCCTTGTGCCGCTGTCGGTAGCCCGCCCTACAGTCTCCGTTCACGGTACGGTGGCACTCTTGTACTTGCAGCAGCACTTCCTGCATAGGCTTGAGGCCATGAGCCTTGTAAGAAAATTGAGTCAACGCTTCGACTTGCTCAACAATCTCCAGGCGCTCGCCAGCGCTTGATCTTTACAAGACACCTTCCCAAACGTTACCTGGATAACGTCTATCCCTGCGTAACGGGACACCCTGCGTGCTGGGACCGGCCAATCAGCTCACTTGGATCTCAGACTTCTGCCCAAAAACTGCAAGTCGATTGGCTGGTCCCGGCACGCAGGGTGTTCTGTTACGCAGGGATGGACGTTACCCCCATGAAACGCTCGTATCGTTGTGGAAAAACCCTTGCCATGTGGACGGTGTGGTGAGATTGAAGCTGACCGCAGAACCAGGAACCGACCGTGCTTGCCATTGTCACTATCAAAGAAAGAGGGCCAGCAAACGAACTAAACTTGCCTACATGGACATTTAGCTGTCGCACGAGCAACGATGAAATCGCCCTTTTCGTGGAAGACCGATCCCCTGATCATATCACAGCGAGACCCAAGTTGGATAGTGGCCCATGTCGTAGACTTTACTTCTTCTACGTACCGGCAGTAGTTGACGTACTCCTTGAACCTATCGTGCCTGATACGTCGACTTTCCAATCATCATCCATCTATGCTCCATACCTTTCTTGGTTCCGTAAGGTCTACATGATCACATGATCCGATGGCCGACCACAAGCTAGACTTTACACTGCAAGTCTAGCTCACGGACGCTCAGAGATCGACCGAGTGATGCTCAGAGATCGCCAAATTGGTGTTGCATCGGCGATCCCCAAACTATGCGTTGCATGCATTTGGGATGCTGTTGTGTAACTGTGGCTTGCGACAATGCTCGAGTGGCACGGTGACACGTCTGCGGTCGGAACTGCGATAATGCTTCCGACGACCGTTGTTGAGCCGTGAGTAAGAACAATCAGAAAAAGTGACGGTCGACGACGTGACCCGTTCGCGGTTTCGACCCTAGAATATTCTTGATTTCCGCACCGCCAAGCTGAGAATTACTGACAACCAGAGATACAATGCTTGATAGCAAACCGGAAAATGCAGCCTCAGACGACGGGCGTCCCAAAACCTCGCTGGACGATTCATCGGCCCCATGCTTGAACCTGATCATCAAGGAGTACTGCCTCAAGCATGCAGCTATATTCAGGGAACTCACGGATCTTCGGCGCAGAGTAAGCCTTCTTCGTAAACCCAAACTATTCAGTGCTGATTACACGAGCAGGGATGGGAGAATCCCCAAGGAGACGACCACTTTAGAGTACAGCGTTACCGAGCAGATAACGCGGATAAGTCCGGCAAACGCATATTCTACAAAATGATGTGCCAGATCGGTGACGAACTCGACGAGATGACTTCAGTTCTGCCATCAACTTCATCACTTAGCAGAAACCCTGCCATTCTCGATCTCTGCATGGCACCTGGTGGCTTCACAGCCTCTGTTCTCAAGAGAAACCGCGATGCTAGGGTATGTGGGATCAGTCTCCCCGTCTCTCAGGGCGGTCATAAGATGATACTTCCCAATTGGCGAGAAGATCCGAGAGTCCAAGTCCGCTTCCTTGATATCACAATGCTGGCGGCTGAAATGGACGTTACCGACATTCCAGTGGAGCACCCTGATGCCAAAGACTTCATATTCGACCGTCCCTTTCATGGCGAAGCCTTCGATCTGGTCTTCTGCGATGGCCAAGTCCTGCGGACGCATTCCAGAGCGGAATATCGCGAGAGACGTGAGGCATGGCGGCTGATGACGAGTCAGCTTGTGCTCGCGCTTCAGCGCGTCAAAGAAAACGGTAAACTCGTGGTTCTACTGCACAAGCTCGAGGCTTGGGATACGGTGTATCTTCTGTACACTTTAAGAAAATTCTCGTCGCTCCAATTGTTCAAGCCGCGCAGGAAACATGCTATACGGTCGTCGTTCTACGTTGTTGCTGAGCAGATCGAAACGGAGAGCCTATGGCTTCAAGCATCTGTGACCGCTTGGAAGAAGGAGTGGTACATCGCAACGTTCGGAAGTGACACAGAGTACAGAAACAACCGGTCCAGCTTTCAAGCTACTGTAGATGATGTCTTGTCGGATTTTGGCACTGAGCTGCTAGAGCTGGGGCAGTCCGTTTGGGAAGTACAGAGTGCTGCACTACGCAGGTCTTCGTTCATGACGTAAAAGCCTTACATTGAATGGACGCGCACAACAATAGCAGCAACTTACAGTGGTGTAGCTTTGGAGAAACCATACTTTGCTTGTACGCCTTGTCAAGACTGCTGAACATGAAAGTGCTTGCCTGAATGTCCTCAACCCTATCGGAGATGGCACGGGGCACCGGGCCTTCGAAAAGAAGCAATGAATGGGACTAAAGTCCCTTCCTGTATAACGGAAAACCCCATGTGCCGAAATCGACCAACGAGATAAAGTACCGTGTCGGAAAAGATGCTATTCCTACCCTCTTATTGGCTCATTCCGGCCCACCGGGTTTTCCGTTACACAGGGAGGGATGTTAGCAGATGATAAGCAAGTATATTGTAGTAACCTCCCTCGCTACGCAGCGAACAACCCGGTGGGCCGAACCCAACCAACGAAAGTGCACAGATGATCAAAATCCTGATCTGACGCACCGGGTTGTTCGCTGCGTAACGAGGGAAATTACTGACGATCGCATGCCAGATGCTTGGAAGTTGATTTGCATGGAAGGCGATGCTTTTCAGCCTGAGTGCTCGTAGATGCGGGACTTCGTGAAAACTGCTGAGTAGCAATCTTCGGATGAGGATTCAACTAACAACTGTGTTGGCGCTTATATAGGCTGTGACCATTATACTTAGAAGGATGTCTGTGTTCTATGGTTGCGGCTGGCATTGATGCCTCACGGCTATTTTTCTCCGTAACTTTACTACGTTAGTCTAGTAATGGGACGCTGCCATTTTGTGAATTCCCAGGACTACCAAGAAGAAAGACAGCCATTTGATCTAGCATGTGCACGTGGCTGTGGGAGTAAACGCTGGAGATGCGCACAGGCCACACGAAGATCCAGATCTCTTATGGCCCGTGCACAGAACACGCCTTTGTTGTGCGACTCACGCTGTTACGCGCTGGGTAAGAAGCACTAAGCCAAGAATTCAGTCAGATCATCACAAATTGCTTTATCCCATCCGCGCCACTCGAGATGCTAGTATAGAGCTTCATCCGCGTGTCTGTTCGAGCAGCATTGCGCACTTGACGACGCCTAGATCGCAACGCGATGGTACGAAGCGTGAAGATGGTGGCGCCCTGCGGAAAAGAGTATTGCAAGCGAAGAATCGGTCAGAGTGGTAGGGAACACTTGCTAAGAGCATGAATTTGGGTGCCGATGGATCCGGAGTCGTAGCTGACCTGCAGCGATCGGCTCCTTGGGGTTGTAGAAGCAACCCTGATTCTAGAACGATCCACTACTTTTGGTAATCGTAAAGCACGTTATTGGAGGTTTTACAGAAGAATATGCTTGCTGCTGTGCAAGAGGCGAGGCGAATGTGCTGTTGTTGCCTGCGATCTGCTTTCATAAAGCATCTTTGATACGGTGATGTTGATACAGATGCGCATCTAATTCTGTATTACTATTACATACTGCCTACATCCAACAACTTTGTAGATGGCGGTAAAGCGGAAGACCGGCATTGTTGTTTCAATCGAGCGTGCTGGTGGGATGAACGGGCTGGGCGCGGTGGGCAGCGGTCGCGTCCCTCCGGACCTTCATGTTTGTAGCAACGTATCGTAACACGCAACAGCAAGAATTTGTCGATGCCAGAGTTGAGAATACAACTTTTGATGGCAATGCTCGACATTTGTTTAATAGATGTAAGAGAAAGACGACGTTGCTGGGGGCAGAAAACGAAAACGGGAGGAGCCTTGGAATGTCTGATTCGGTCTCAAAGACAGTAGATGACGCCAGGCATCAGTCGGCGCGGGAAATGTATGCCCTATAGAGTTCGCTGCAGGATTGCTCTTTTCCATGTTGGCGTCTCGGTCACGGCTTCTAGGTTTGTTGTTATATTGTTCCAGCTCTTCTTCGCTATGTCTGGGTCATATTCTCGTTCAACCTTCACGATAGAATGCGAGGACCGCCTCCTTCTCGTCGTGCGTGCGCTGAGATACATCCATGGTGAACCTGTGGTGTTTTCCTCGCTACACTTCTACCATTTGTGTTCGCCGGAGGGAGAAACGCTACGGCATGTTCATAACCTTTGCCTTCAAGTTCAACAGCTGTCTGTATTTAATGCTTTGTGATGTGCTTGCACCAAATAAACCACAAAGCTATCATTAGATACTAGCGTCGCTCTACACCAAAGTTTCTGGTCTATCTCTTTCGGTGTGACGTAAATCAATAGGTAGCAAGAATCTTCAGATCTGGCACCCATCAGTCAATCTAGTATAAATGCTAGCTAACTGATCAATCCACACATCGACACGTCTATCGTCAATCATAGTGAAATGGACAACCAGTCTGATGGTCGGTCGGACTAAATACTGTACGAGGGGACTGTGTCGCCAGTCGCTTGTACTAAGTTTGCCGTTGCAAGTACTTTGGCAGGCAACTTGAATGTACAAAAATCCTCTATTGGTGCCAGTTCTATCCGTTGTCTTTGAGCTAGAAGCTTATCGGATCTTCGTTTGTGACCACCTCGCCATTCCTGCCCCTTACACACGGTTGTGGATGCAACGCCAGCAGTTGGCTACGTTGCAGCCGCTACAACGCATGACGAAAGGAAGGTAATCAGCACCGCATTCCTCACAGTCTTGACCGTTGGTGCGTTGCCAGTCGTGCTCATGAGTAGCAGCCGGGAGCGGTACTGTGACCGGATCTTGCGCAATGGGACCAGGAGGAGATGGACGCATGAGGTAATGTTCGTCCCACTTCGGACAAGTGCATTGCTTCCACTGAACGCCGCACAGATAACAAAACTGGTGGCGACACCGGCATCTCTTTACGTTAGCAAGGCTTGTCCGATTCACAAACACAATGAAACTCACGTCATATGGAAGCAACCCTGCTCTAGCTCAACCATGTTTTTGCACTTGGCACACTGCTGCCACCTGCTACGCCTGGCCACATCCATGAGAAGCTGAACATGGGGGTCACTGGGACAGAGACCCTTATGCTCAGAACTCTTGCAACGAGAACATGTTCTACGCTTGCAGAACGCACAAGAACCAACACCAGCCTTGACATCTTTTGAGCGAATGAATTTCGAGCAATCTGCGTTTGAGCAGTATGTTGGATTCGGAGTCGCGAGCTCTTCGACCTTGAGATCAAAGCTTTTGACGACTTCTTTCGGTAGAATGACACGGCAAATCTCAAGCGGAATGGGTAGCTTGCAGCAACGTGGAGGGAAAAGCGATGTGTTATCGAGTGCGCTGGTGAACAGATCAATGAGGCAGATGCGACAGTACGTGTGGGCCTCCGGTTTGCATTCCAGTGCGAGTGTGTTTTTACTGGACACAACCTCCATGCATGCGCAGCACTTGGTCAGCGCATCAGAACCGAGGATTGTGGCCTTGGGGGGTCCCTTCTTATCGCCAGCCTTGGCGGTTCGGATGCCGTCGAGAGGCGCTGAATTTGCAAGCTGGTGCCCGAAGGCCGCTGTATAGAGCTCTCGCGCCATATCCCATTGCTCATCGCTGCAGCATTCGGCCGCATCGCAAAGGCTGGCCTCATAATCAGCACGTTTCGTGACATCTCGATCACTGAACGCTCGGCCCACTAGTTGCATAGCGAGTTGATGGTCGTTGACGGCTTGCTTCTCTTCTTCTAAGAGCCTGGAGAAAGCGACGCGATTTTCGTGCTCTTCTCTCAAGATTTTAAGTAAAAGGACTTGGCCCTCCAGAATTTGGAGCTGCTGTTCGAGGTCCTGTCGCATGATCTCGAAACTCGTACGCGCATCGCCACTAGGAATTTTTGTTTCGTTGTAGAGATCGTCAAAAAGGTCATTGATGTCGGCAAGCTGCAGCTCGACTATGATCTTACTTGTCTCGGGATCCATAGATTGATTGACAGCAATGCAGTTGGTGTTTAAAGAAACAAATTCAGACCGAACAATCGTATCAACATGAGCGTTTCTGGAATTCGATCATGACGTGAAATCATTGGGTGTACATCAAAGCTTAATTTTCGGGGTGCACGACACGTCTTCTCCCCTGATGCACCCACCAACCGCAAAGCATCCACACACCGCGCCGACCACCATTACAGCCTTCGTCGCGTTAAGCACCCCCACGGTCTTACTGCCATCTTCATACCTGCCACAGCACGTTCAATGATAAAGTGCATATGCTAAAACATTGTTTGCACAATACATTGTGCCTTGTCCTTAGACGATCGCTGCAGCAAGTGCCCGGGGCCAGCGGCCACATCTACCCCGCCTTCGATCTCGCCCCGCCCACCCGAAGCCCCGCGCAATCCCCTGACACCCACCAGCAAGCAGACACATCTTGGGCTGAGTGGGCACCATCCATCTCTGCCTGGATCACCGACGTCTTAGCGGGCCCTGTTCAACTACGAACACAATGTCTCCCCCTCCTTCGGGTGCTCAGGTACCGAACACCATGTCAGATAGTTTGAGACAACGAGATTTGAAGACGTATGGACATCGTGCTCTTGCTACACGATTGAAATGAGCCCACGATATCGCAGATCCGTGCCAAAATCCGCAAATATCCTTGGGACATCGTTCACGACCTCTCACGCAATATTATGTAGGGTGCTCATACCTAGTGGCTTAGGCTATCTTTTCAATCGACCACCGACCGTTTCTTTTGCGATCGTCTACATACACTAACGATGTGGACGAATGATATTCTGGCGCCGTACTCTCATTGCTGACTGCATTGATAAGCTCCGGATCTGCTGGTGAACTCTGATCGTACATGATCGCTAGCTTAGCGGGCCATGGGCTCCATAAGCATTCTTATCTGCCTCGACTCAGATATAGTAATGATCGGCATCCACCAATATGGCTAGATTTCGATCGATGTCGGGCCCTAGGTGCAGGAAAGTGTTGGACCGTCTGTGGGTGATGGCTAAAGGCGTAGACATTACTATCAGTAGGAAGCCTCTACAACCCAGCGAAGTGGAGATTTGATGAAGCTCTATATGCTTCCGGCATCTCTACTGGTCTATTCGTGCGATCGAAGCAGACATGGCTTGGGTATAGACACGTTTAGTTTTGGAATGGGAAAGCTTGCGAAACGCGCAAGGGATCAAGGACCAATGTAATCGGTGTAATGCCACGGCTCCGCCGGATAGACTTGTTCAGATCAGTCAGTGGTTGGCGGGGAAGTCGTCTTCAGGTATAGTAAGCGTTTTCTCGGTCTTGCGCATGTTGAGATTAAGATTGTGGAAGTGTCAGCGACTATGAGCATGGAAGAAGAATTAAGGATTGAACTGGGATTGTGTTGACATAAAGGTCTAACGAGCAAATACATGTATGCAGATGATCGGATTGTGCAGCTTCAAACTCTAGACTGAAATAGCTATCGTAGTAAGTGAGACTGGCAACAAGTCGGGACATGGTGGCGAAGCAGAAAAACGTATATTCCGGAAATCTTGGTGCTCTGAGTTGCTGCATGGAACGGTATGAAACCTGCGGAGAGGTCGGGTGAATGGATAGGGAAAGAAATGAGGAAGGAAGGGTGGCTGAGGCAACGGAATCGACCAGTGTTGTCCTTCCAAGCTCTTGATGTTATGCTTGCAGTCGAGTGCCACTGGAGTGCTTCTTCAATAGCGAGCTCTCTGCAGATTTCCGCGTAGATGGGATTGACCAGAAGGAGCACGAACCGCAGACAGTCGCGACACGTGAGGCGGGGGTGAAGTGAAACAGTGCTGCCTGCCGCAGTTTTTGGCATCATAGCAGGCTCTGGAGCCATGTCCTTTCCTCCAGAAGATGGAATGTTGAGGAACGTTAGTGCTGAGAGAAAAGCAACTTTAGCCTTCGGCGCCACTGCTTCAAAGCGGAGTCAGGAACGCTAACAGCACAGATGGGGGGAGACACGCCAAGTTGCCACAACCCCGCACCTCAAGAGCATCGAACTTCAGCTAAACCAGGCAAGCAACAGCATCACTCTTTACACAAGACGTCGAGATCGGGTAATCTAAGCACTTGAAAAGATGAAGGTCCGCAGCACGTCTTTCGTGCTGTTGATGGTCGCTATTGGTAGCGTAGCCACCCGAGGTATTCCCCTTTCCATAGCTCCAGTGTCTTCAACACTAAGAGAGACCGCAGAATCGCGTCATGCCACTCCGGTTGAACCTGATGAAGAGGGTCAGACTTTGGTCTCTCTGGTCAATCGCAATGGCTGGGTAAACCCTGAAGATCTGGCTCCCATGCCACAGTGCATCGCTCAGCAGGATCCGTCCTCCTGGCTGGGTGTGATGACGAAATGTACTAGTAGACGATGCACCTCACGCTTCGGTGTTTGTGTACACCGCCAGTGGCTTACTCAACTCAGTTGTCTCAGCACTGGGTTTTCCTCTGATATCGTCAGGGCCTATTTCCCGTATTGCAGCCGATCCATACTTGCCAAGGCGCAGCTATTTCGTTGGATACACACAGTCACTGGTCGGACATGGCTCGTCGATGTCGGCGATGCTAACGAGTTACAATCGCTTTCTCCGGCCTCCTTAGCTCGAGGGTATGCGGCCGTCGGCATGATTAGCCAGGCACCAACGTGTCTGACAAACTCGGCTTCTGCATCATCGATGGAACCATTTCAATACGTCATGGCCTCCTGTGGCTTCACATCCAACACCCGGCACACTGGGAATGCCGCTCGCCCATGGGAATATAGTGAATCACGGCGGTCCATCATCGCTTTGGATTTCGAAACGGTCGGTTACGACGTCACTCAGCACGACATACAATATGGCGACTATTTCGATAGACAATGCTTCTGCGACACGTTTGAGACAGACTTGACGATGGAACCCTGTCCAGGGCCGGGGTTAGCTACAACACAAGAGCGGCTGTGGCTGAATGCTACTTGCGGATCGACCTACTTACCCGGAAATTGGACGGACGGACTGCAGACCACAACATCAGCTTATATTCCTACCGAGAGATGGCACTGGCCTGATTGCGTCACTGACATGCCAAAAAAAGTGATTGGGCTTATCGATCGATGCACAACCGATGCATGCGAGCTTGACTCAAATGGTTACTGTAGCATCACCCGTGCAGTAGACAGGTCATGTTTCTGCCACAACATCAGCTACAATACTTGCAAAGGATCATGTCAGATATTCGAAACTCGGATCAATTATGTAACTTGGCTCAACGATCTTTGCGGCAGCGAGCAAGGATGGCACGGCTTGCCGAAGCATTGGCGACAGTTGACTGTTCCTACTCCTGCCGACATGATTCCTTGGAGATGGAGCATCAAACCGTTTCGAGATGCGAACCCTACCTCTATCGATAACTCGGAATCTTCGAAACCAACGCAGACATGTGCCTCTACCGAATGGAAGATTGGAAGTCTGGTTATGATCAACGTAGCCACTCTTCTTACTGGTTGCTTGGGCCCGAGAACAGCTGCCAAACCTATCGCACGTATGTTTCCGCACTACTTGCACCCAAGATCTTGGTTCCTGACGGGACTACGGATCATTGGTCTTCACCTCTTCGCAAACTTGCTCAATGCAGCTCTCGTTCAGTCAAAGTTTGGATATGAGGACGTTCCTATCATCCAAATGGTACTTCTCTGGTGTTCGATGCCTCGATTGACTTGGTTAACGGTGTTGCTGATCATGTTCCAACCCAATCAAGCTACAAATTTCTTTATGGCCGTGTCATGCTTGTTTGCAGAAACGATTCTTCAGGTTCTTTCGGCATACCATATGGTTACAACTGTTGCTTATGGTCGAGAACACAGCTTCTATAGTCACGGAATGGCAAGGCTAGACACGGTGACATCAGCACAATACCTGTATGCTGGAGCACTCATGTGGCTGATTGTCATTATCGTCGCTCTGGTTCTCTTCATGCAAGCTATATGTGGAACAAATACGTTACCTAGAGGCGCAGAGGCTGATGGGCTAAAGTCACAGCCAGACACACAGACAATGTCGGGTCCTGTGCAAGGGCTAATGGCGCCCTTTAACGTGTTTTGGACACGTTTGGAAGATCGCATATCACAATCTTGGGTTGACAAGAGCTGGGACCTGGAAGAAACACCGTTGATGAGTAATGAGGGACAGACTCATTCAGTATATGGCACTCTGCCTACCAGAGCCCCAGACAATCTAATGATTAAGAAAGTAGTGGCAAGACTGTTTGTGGTCACAACCATCAGTATGGTCCTCCTCTGGATTGCACAGTGGCTGTTTTGGGTCGGGTTTCTTGGTCTTAGCATGGAAGAGTATGTACTCGCGCGCACGCACTAGACTTGACATCGCTGACTGCATCAAGGTTTTGTCTCCCTAAGCTTGGGGTTCTCACCACCATCTGGATAGCCTCCTCGACTCTTGTTACTGTTGCAGCACTCCCTTAGAACAAGGAGTTCGAGATACGGGGAGCGCTTTATTGTCTAACTTTCTCGGCTCGAGATATGGTAGCATGAACACAAATCCGTTTCGATTGATCCGATGCCTCACAGCTAGCCTTTTGCGGCACAGAACCTTGATTTCTTCGACGATTTGTTCGCAAGTAGACAACAGAATGTTCTGCTGGGTCTAGGATATGCTACTAGCTCTAGCAGATCCTGGACACATGCGTTGGCTTACGGCTCATCTCGGAGTTGACGTACGATTGTGTACATCTTCCTCCTAGAGGCGTACACTGGACTATAAATGCATGTACCGCAAACTGGATATCTTCGGAATAGCTGTTGGGCTGCGCTTCGTTTGCTCCTTTTGTAATAATCACGATTGGTCTTCTTCCTTTCGCTACCGCTTGATCTCGCGACGATGTCTTCCCGATGTCTCTC